GCTTTACGCCTCCCCCTCTCCTGGGGACGGGAACGGTTAACTGGTAAGTATCCCCCTTACTGGTAGGGGGCTGGAGCAGTCCCCCAACCACCATGGGCAGGGGGCTGCTCCAGCATGTCCACCACAGGCGAGGGGCGCTGCAGCCCAGGCAAAGCAACCCCGTCCATGGCTATTTAAGCAGGTAATCGGTTAAACAAAGTTTAAACTAGGGATGTAAGCGACTAGTCCCGCCTCCCCTCCTTGCTGCCTCTGATTAGAGGCAATGGGGGGAGGAGGGGGAGAACAGGAGCTGATGCTGGAGGGGAGCCCCCTTAAAAGCTGGTTCCCACCAGCACAGTCTCTGTGGGAGGCAGAAGGTAGCAGGGACTAGGCGCGAGCTGGGAATCAGCTGATATCCAGCTCACATCCAGTCCCAGATGCTGCGCCTCTGCTTTTTAAATGTAATTAAAAGCCTGCTGGTTCTTAATACAATTAAAAATCAGAAGCACCGAGGGGGGGGAATGGAGGAGGGGGGGGGACGACGGACGACACACTTGTGCGAGCTGATTCCCGACTCGTGCCAGGTCCCCCCTGCTGCGCTCCAGCCTTTTAAACGTAGTAAGAGCCTACTGGCTCTTAATACATTGAAAAGGAAGAGCCGCAGCAGAGTTAGCTCCTGGGGCAGGGAGCTAACCCAGCTGCGGCTCCCCCACTTATCAACTAGTCGATGGAAAATCCATCAATTAAACTAAATTTAATATCCCTAGTTTAAACGGGCTCTTCCCTCCCTATCCGGTCCATGGAGGGTCTGGTACAGCCCCACGGACTCTTCAACTCAACCACCTGCTTTCAGCTGAGGTGGTTCCTGGTGCTCACCAAGACGGCGGCCCTCACGAACGCACTAGAGACAGTCCCAGCCCTGTTCTATGCACCTTTCGCCAACGCCTTGTCTTTGCTGCAGAGGGCATTAAGCCCTGCAATTAGCATCACTCTTGCCGGCCTCTCTCCGCCCCCCACTCCAATCACAGCCTCACACAGACTCATGGTTGCTTTCTAGTTCTTGTCCATCATGCTGTGAATGGCACACGAGTAACCTGGAAGCTCTGCTCAGAGACACCCCTCCAAGGCTATGTCTAGACTGCAGGCTTCTTTCGAAAGAGGCTGTTTCGAAAGCATCTTTCGAAAGAGCCTCTTTCAAAAGATCGTGTCTAGACTGCAGGCGGATCTTTCGAAAGAGAAATCCGCTTTTTCGAAAGAGAGCACCCAGCGAGTCTGGATGCTCTCTTTCGAAGACGGCCTCTTTACATTGAAGAACATCTTCTTTCAAAAGAGGAACTTTCGAAAGAAGGCGTTCTTCCTCGTAAATTGAGGTTTACCGCCATCGAAAGAAAAGCCGCGTTCTTCCGAAATAATTTCGAAAGAACGCGGCTTGAGTCTGGACGCAGGGGAAGTTCTTTCGAAAAAAGGCTACTTTTTTCGAAAGAACCCCTGAGTCTGGACACGGCCCAAGTGGTGTCCGTAAAAGGCAGCTTGCTGCCGGGCACTGTGCCGCATGGGGGTTGATGCTACCCACCCAGAGATGCCCAGTTTTCCAACGTAAGACATGTGTTTAAAAAAAAACAAACATCGTGCGCATGAAGACGGCCGGCAGTTCCAAGCAGACAATCAAATCCATCAGCAATGTATTACTCTCCAATGATCACAATTAACATCAGTGGCAACGAGCAACTGCACCTTTGCAGTACCCTACCCCCGTCTGCGTTCTCTCTCGGACACCAGAAACAGAAGCAACAATAAAGGTTTTTCAGTCACTTCTCTCCCTCCCCCTTCCACTTGGACATTTCATCCCTAAAATCATTCGTTTCTTCCAAAGGGAAATAAAAAGCCAACAGCCCAGTCAACCGAACATGCCACGCCATATCTGCAGGAACAGGCAAGGAACTGAGCGGTCCATCTCTCCTGCAGCAACCTTGGTTATTAGTATATAGAGAGAGATTTCACAAGGAGTTACAGAAATATATTTGCAGCCAGAAGTTCCCCTCCCAATTCCTTCTCATGTTAAGTCTCACCTTGAAACCAACAGCCTGGAAAACAAGACAGACTGACCCGCCATTCGCTAATCCGTGGTGCATCTGAACCCAGTAGATTACTTACCCTCTGACAGCCCCAGCAGCATTAAACTCAGTGAGGT